CCCCCCCCCCAAAAAAAAAACCCTTTTGTCTGGACTTCCACTTTAAGTAAATTGTTTAAAGTGATATAAGATGATTTATACCTGGCAATGGAATCCTATACATTTTCTCAGTATAGGTTTCCTGGACCATCCGTCACATAGACATGTATGCTCAGCTTGTCCCAGTGTACATGTTCAAGTAAATGGTGCGGTCTCATGTCTGTGAGAGTGATGGCTGATCCTACAATAATCGTTTCATGTCTGTGAATGGAATAGGCGAGTGATTGGTCATCTAAGAATGATCCAACTGTCCTGCAGCAACTGTGCATAGAAAGGAATGCTTTCTAAGGCTGAATGCTTGTTTAATGTTTGTTTAATGCAAAGAGGTGGGGGACAGGGGAGAGCTGGGTAGGCAGATGGGGACAATGGATAACAGAATAGGTTGCCTAACCTGTCCAATCGAAGTTTCATGTGAGAGTGGTGAGCCGGCAGGTTTACCCCCGTAGGCACAAACTCATCGAGCATTTCTAGAATGGGGAAGTCCGCAATAGCAGCCTCCAATTAACTCTCAGGAAAGGCTTCCTTTTAGGGCTCATTCTCACATACTGCAGTGACCCGTGTTGTACCTCACAGAATCACTGCAAGGACACAAAGAAAACAATTGTTTTTTGCGTGTCCCATTCACAGCACAAGGTGGGTGTGATGGGCAGGGTGCTGTGTTAAAATGCAAACATGGTGCATTTTATTGCATTGCATGCCACTGGAGGTCATCACTTCGCAGCGCGCTGCCATGCAGAGACATGTATGAAGTGTATGCACCAATACTAGTATCGGTGGGATGCACTAGTATTGCAGGGATGCACCAATACTAGTATCGGTGCCGAAAGTGAGTATTTGGGCGAGTACTCGTTCTCGCCCAAATGCTTCCGATACCAGAACTTCCGGAAGCCGGGTAGCGAGTCATTACACACTGCCTGGCTTCCTGATTGGCCGTGAATCCAGCTCCATGCTCCCTCTCATGTAGGCTACGCCTGCTTAGATTACAGTGGGATGAGCAGATGTTGGAGGTGGCATGGCTATCAGCATTGTCACTTGATTTACAAGTCTGTAGCTTGTCAATAAGCATCTGACCACACCTATTCCTGCCCAACGGTTTCTGCATTGACATTGCTGCCCCTATTGGTGAAACCCTCCCACTTTGAGTTGCAGTGTCTAGGAGGGGGGCGTGTGAGATAGAAATGAAGGAGGGTTTGGTTCAGTCAGGGGAGGTAAAGGGAAATTTGTGTTTTACTGTGCATTACATAATTGGATTTGGTACATGTATAGACTATATCATATAGGAGCTTTTAGTTGAACTTTAGCTAGAGATGAGGCTGGGCTTGGTGTGAACCCTGTTTGCCTGAGTTTGCCTATAACTCTGACCATCACCCCCTCCTCCTGACCCAGTTGGCGTCAGCAGTTGTGGCGGGAGTTATTTTCCGAAGCAGGGCCACAACTGATTGGGACAGGAGGAAGTGGTTGCAGTCACAGTGTTGGAATTTTCTTGGGCAAACTTGGGATAACTGGGTTCACACCAAGCCCTGCCCCCTCTCTAATCACAGCTAGTATAAGTGCCTAAATCGTGGCTTCATTCATGTTAGTTTCCAGTAATTCTCTGCATATCAGGACTTAGGGTGGCCATACACCTGTTGCTTGTCAACTTTACACTTCCATCAATTTAAAGCTTCCCATACATGCTACAATTTTCTTCAGCTCTACTAACTACTCTATATTGTAAGGGAGGGCCTGATGATAGAATCATGTGACATAGTTTTAGCAACTATAAAAACGATTGTACAGTCAAACTGTAATGTGTGTAGACAGCTTAACAGCAATTTGACAATGTTCGATTGGCAAGCTGATGACTAAGCTTTATTGCGTAAAGAAATACTGATCCTCGATCCCTTCTGACTGCTAGACTGGTCCCCGCAGCCTCTTCTCCCCTGGGCTTTAGCAGTCTAAGGACCCATGCCATCATCACGTCTAATGCAGGTGCATTAAAAGTGAGGATGCCATGGTACATTCTACAGCTGGAGTGGAGAGGGCAAGAGGTGAGCGGTCACTGCCACAGGACTGAGGATCAGGTGAGTATATCTTCTTTTCTTACGACCCCTACAGAAAAACAAGCCATTAACCTTTGCAGTGTTGGTGGAGCCCCACTGCAGGGGGTAGTTTTTTACAATTCCTGGAATGATTCTTTAACTGCAGCAGTTGAAAGTGTGGTCACTGAGTTGGTTATACTGTGGGAAATTGCATGGGATGGCATTTTTAAGTTACAGCTTGGAGGAAAACTCGCCTCTCGTCTATGAACCTTTCCCCCATTTTATAGCAAAGACACTCTTCGAAGGGGATTTGCAGCTTATTCTGCAGTTTGGCTTTTTGTAAACAATACACAGGCTTCAAAATTACTAGTTTATGTACACGAGGGATGTTAAATTACACTATTGGGTTTTTTTTTTTAATTATCCTCTGCGATCCGGGTTAGCACGGTCCTGCACAATGCAGGCAGCGATTGCCACGCAGCCACATTGATTTCAATGGGGCGACATCTGCGTGGTAATCGCAGAAAAAAGGTACATGTAACTTTTTTTTTATTTGCGATACACGGTGCGCTGCTGTTTTAGCTGCAATCGTATTTGGACGGGCGGAATCGCGGTGGGAAACTGTGTGGTGCGACTGGGGTGCCATTAGAAAATAATAGCACCCACAGCGCGATCGGTTCACACCTTGGCGACTCCTGACCTTGCGGCAATCCGCATGGAATCATGCGCAGATTGGATTATGAAATATCGCGCAAAACACAGATGCACATTGAAGTCAATGGAGGCTGTTCACACCTTTGTGGTTTGTTGCACGAACGAAATCGCCTGTTGTGCGAAAAGGTACAGGAGCTATTTTCAGGCGATTGTTGCGCGGTTTGGGTCCCATAGACATCTCTATGCACTGAAAACCGTGCGTTTTTTCATGAACAGTTGTGCGTTCGAAAACAGCTCAGCATCTGAATCGCCTAGGTGTGAACCTAGGCTACAGACAAAGGCGATGGACAGTCTCAGACAGTCTCTGGTAGTCTTCTAAGTACACAACTGACTTATTCATACGGGATCTGTTTCACCTGCCAAAGGATTTGCCAGTCCTGACATAAACAGGCATAGTTTTGGAGATTTTGTTAAATGCCAAATGCCGCTCCATTGAATCAGCCATACAAGTGCCATAAAGGTGGCCATACACTCTACAACCATCGCAAGACTTTAGTCTTGCGATGGTTGTAAAGGGATTAAAAAAACGTACGATCTGCCTATCTTGGACAGGCAGATCGCACTCTCGATCATCGCAAGCCCGCCCCCCTGAGGGGCGGGCTTCCGATGACCGCAATGCTGAACGGGCAGTGTGCGCGTGCGCACACCGGCCCGTTCAGCATTTATCTTCCGAGCACCGTTCTAACCAGCCGAGAATCGTACGATTCCCGGCTGGTTTTCGAACATGCTGGTTCGACAGAAGACGTGCGACCGTACAGTAGAAACGGTCGCACGTCTCCGTTCACACTGCTCGATTATCGTACGAAAACCCGATCGCATACGATTATCGTACGATAATCGTGCAGTGTATGGGCACCTTAAGACTCACACAGTCATGTTGATTGGATAGTGAAGAAGCAGCAGATTGATGAGCCATCACTTTGATGTCTCCTACAGTCAATGTAGCCGAGCATGATTGGATTAGAGTGCAACTCCTTCAGCAGTTGATTACAAAATACGTTCAAGTACTTCGAGCAGTTGCTATTAAAATGGTTTACTTTTACAAAACTTACTTAGTGTGTGTGTGTGTGTGTGTGTGTGTGTTATTTTATTTTTTTATATTTTCATATTCCCAGTATATGCTTATATATTTTTTTTTTGCTATTGCTTTCATTCATCAGCTGTAGCCCTGGTGCCATTGTTGGCGAGCTCTAATATCTGCAAGTTTAACCCCACCCAGACTACCATTGCTTTGGAAAAGCCCTACTGCTTCTACATCAGCCCAACATCAGTGACTGCATATCTGTACGTGGTCAGGAACGGTAAGCAATCCTTATCTAATAGATGGAAGTGTTGTAATGAAAGTGTATTTTACTAATCCTAATTCTGTATTTATGTTCTGCAGGATTTCATGATCTCCTTGTATCCCACTAATTCACCGCATGAAAGCAGCATTTCTCTACCTGATTTAAGTCACTGCACCCTTTAAAAGTATACAATCTCGAGGCACCCCAGATTAAAATGTAAAAATTGTAAATCTAAAAAAAACATGTGGCCACTCAAATCAGTACCAGGCCCTTATTCAAGATAGGGGTCTGGTTTGGATTTTAGGGAGGAACCCCATGCACATTAGGAGTCCCTTCACATCTGAATTTCCCCTTTCACATCAGATTCCCAATCTTTTTCCCCCCCCCCCCACCCCAATCAAATCAGAGGCAGGACACTGAAAATTTTGAGGCGCCCCTGAGGAGGCCAGAAAACCCCCCGAGGCACCCTGGTTGAGAGACTGCATTAAAGACCCTGTCACATTTGGTCCAAAGTCCAAATATACAGCACTTTCTGCTTGCATACTAACTAGAGGTGCACCGAAATGAACATTTTAAAAACAAAACCAAAAGGAAAAAAATGTCGGGCCAAAACCGAAAATCGTTTTTTTTTTGGATTTAAAAAAAAATAAAAATAGATATGGATAGATAGATAGATAGATATATAGATAGATATCTTTTTTTAAGGGCTTCAGGGAAATATGACCCCTGATATTTCCCTTTTTTATAATAGAAAAATAGATTGAGAACACACAGAGCACTCAATCTCTTTTTCTGCAGCCCCTGTTATAAATGAGCAGGAATTCTCTATGCTGAGGGTTCCTGTTCATTTATAACATGAGAACAGAGTGTGTTTACCATAACCACAATCATGAATGAACAGGAGGTGATGTAGATCACTTCCCATTTATTCATAATTGAGGATGTAGTAACCATACTCTGTCCTCAATTATGTACAAACACTCAGCGATCACTGATCTGGCTGAGCGGTGTGAGAGGAGAGAAGCTGTCCGCTCACAGAGCGCCTGTGACAGTTTCTCTCCTCCCACCCACTGGGACACAGAGCAGCGCCCAGGAGAGAAAGTAGGCATGCGTCGCTGTATCGGCAGACAAATGGCACTTTCGGCATTTAGCCAATTTCGGCCGATATGTCAGTGCATCCCTAATACTAACACTAGGGCCTTGCATTATGACAGATACCAAGTGCTGAATGTATGCTATCCATTGTTTTACTTTAAGATGTTTGTCATGTTTATTGTCACAGAATTGGATATAGCAGAGTGTGCGTCTCTCTGATCAATCAAGGGAAAAGCTTGTCAATACCTGACCTTTATATCTACATGAGCTTGTTTAACACCCCATTTCCAAACTATAGACATCAATATGGAGTCGGGTCGCCTCTTTGCGGTTATAGCAGCCTCCAGTATTCTGGGAAGGCTTTCCACGAGATTTTGAAGTATGTCTGTGAAAATTTGTGCCCATTTAGTCGAAAGAGCTGCTCTGTAGTTGGGCACTGATGTTGGGCAAAAAGTACTTCCAAATCCTTCCAGAGGTGTTCAGTAGGGTTGAGGTCAGGGCTCTGTGCAGGTCACTTGTGTTCTTCACACCAAACCATGTCTTTACAGAGCTGGAATTTTGCACAGGGCCACAGTCATGCTGGAACCGAAAAGGGCCTTCTCTAATCTGCTGCTACAAGCTTGGAAGCCCATACAGTAACTGTATAAATGTTTTACATCATTTGTGCTAAAACGGTCACTTTATGTTGTTTTCATCGGAAGACCGTGTGACAACACAGGAGCACAATTGGGAGATCCATGCCACTCTAGTACAGGAAGTGCCTGACAAAGACCTTAATAGCAGGATCTCTGTGTATTATGTTAGAGAGATGACATCTTTAAAAATATTAAAACTAACTTGAAATTCCATTAACATGTTTTTGCTTATTAGATTTTAGAGATTTGGTTTTCATACACTTTAATCTTTTTTTCAGATGCCACAAACACCAATCTCTCTCCTATCAACTCGTTTGACGCAACAAAAGGTGGAGCCACAGCACCCTATGTGGCTGCTATTTTTAGCAATCCCAATTGCACCAATCCTCCCACTACATCCCAGATCTATGACCTCTCCCAGGTGCAGTCAACTCTGAATAACTATGTCGTTAGAGTGGGGAATGATGACAACTGCTTCAATATGAATACTTGCAACAAACCTCTTCAAAGTAACACCGCATACAGGTAATAATTTGCTTTGATACAAGATCATTTCTACGTTAAGGCTTTGTTAAAAATTCTGGGGAGAGAAGGTGGGATGAGTTCTACCCTATCAATCCTTGCAACAAACCTCTTCAAAGTAATACAGCATACAGGCAGTGGCGGAACTATCGCCATAGCAGCCCATGCGGGTGCTATGGGGCACGCAACAGAGGGGGGCCCGGTCAGCAGCGGGGCTTACAATCCTCCCGGCCTGTTTTCGACATAGGTGTGCATACAGGAAGTTGAAGCGTACCGGGAAACGAACATTCTCTGCAACCATGTCTGGATTGTAGGCGGAGACAGCAAATGGGTGGGGGTCAGACTCCTGCTGCCTTGACTCGATTGGTAAGGGAGAGGAGTGGGCATGGTTTGGAGGGAAGAACATGGGCCATACAAAATTTTGCTATGGGGCCCTGTCATTTCTAGTTACGCCCCTGCATACAGGCAATTTGCTTTGATATAAGATAATTTCTACATTAAGGCTTAAAAATTCTGGGGAGAGAAGGTGGGGTGAGTTCTACCATACTCAAGCTGTGTTTCTTTTTTTGTTCAGTTTCCTCGGATAGGAAAGAGAGACACCTTTTCAGTACTAAGTACAGGTATTCCTCACTTAACGACCGAGTTCCGTTCCTACGACCAGGTCGTTAAACGGATTGGTCGTTAAGTGAGGAACTCTATACAGTACTGTACTGCATTAGTACAGTACTGTATAGCGTTGCCGATGTACAGTAACGAACAGTGTACTGTACATCGGGCAATGAAAATACTTACCGGGACCCGCAATGAAGATCGGAGGACACCACTTCCGCCGGCGACACGGCGCACTGACTCTGACGCGCAAGGTCGGAGGTCGATCGGCACTCCGTCGCAAGTGCGAGTGGTCGCAAAACAGGTAAGTCGGTAAGTGAGGAACATCTGTAAAATGACACAGCCCAGCTCTGCACACCAGGAAAAAATAATACACAAACATCGATTAGCCAAAACCTTTTTTTTTATTTAGGTTTTGGATGGAGAAGGAAATGGTTAAAACTAAGGATACAACATAATGAAATTTGTTAGGCCACAACCGAAAGCAACTTTTTTTCCCCCAACCTTTTTAAAGTGTTTTACAATTCTTTTTTTTGTTTTTTCACTTTACTGTTAGGGGATTTGGGGAAATAATGAGGGGTCTAGACCCCTCACATTTCACTTTTAAAATAGAAAAAGAGTCCTCAATCTCTTTTCTGCTGCTCCAGCACTCAATGGTCAGAAAGCTCTCAGTACCGGGGCTTCCTGTTCATTCACAATCTGAAGATAGTAAACATTTACTATTAACTCAGTCATGAATGGACCAGAAGCCTCTGTACTGAGTTGCTTCCTGTCCATTCATAAAGTGAGCAGATAGTAAACTATGTCCCGATTTATAAATGAACAGAAAGTGATGTATAGCACTTCCTGTTCATTCATAATTGGGAACATATTCACTATGTCCTCAGTTATTTACAAACACTGAGTAATAAAAGTACTGATCCCTCAGTGTGTGTTCTGCTCTCCATCCTGACTGCTCCACCCCCTCCCGCCTGTCACTGGAGCCCAGCTCTCCTCCCTGCTGGGTGAATCCTCCTGACAGGTCACTACTCCCTGCTGGATGTTGGCAGCTGGATCAGTTCTTTGTCCCCTCCAATCCCCGCTGCCTCTGCCGATACAGGCGGGGTAGAGCAACACGGATTGATGGGGACACGGCCCTGCCTGCATGCTTCAGTCTCAGTGGGGAGGAGAGAAGCTGGGGATGCCCCGCATCTTCAGCCATTATGCCCATAGAACCATTTTCTACCAAATGTTTTGGTGGCCGAAATTCTGGTGCATCCCTGGTTGAACCCTTTTGTCAATGTATTATTTTATGTTAGCTATGTGTTTGGGAGATATTCTCGCACTTCCTGTCCCAGAGATGCAATGGGAAGTAAATATTTTCAGAATGATGAGGATTAGGCGGTTCTCTTGGATGGACAGATATCTCTGGAACAGGTGTCCCCATTGGATTTACTCTTGGCTTTTGTTCTGGTGACCACTCTAGAACTTTGGATTTTCCATTACTTTCTGTTTCGATGACAAGTGTCACCAGGACAAATGACGAGGGTGAGTCTCCCCAGATCAGATAGCAATAAAACTTGAGAGGATTTAATTCTACCCTTCTCTATCCAAAACTAAACAAAACAAAATCTTCGGGTGTAGCATTATACTTTTGGTAGCTAAATAGTGCATTTGTTTTATATTCGACTAAGTTTGGGGTGGAAAAAGACAGCTGCAGAAGAGACCAAAGGATTTGGTTCCAAAAGAGGGACAATTCCTCTGTTCCCTCCATATGAGGGACAGTTGGGAGCTATGCAAGTGTATATCTGGGCAAACAAATGTATTTAGTATACTTTTATAAATGCATATTTCCAGATCTTTTATATCTTTAAAAAATTCCGAAAGTACAGAACAGTTTGTTGATCTGCCAGAAATCCAGTGAGCTTATAATTGGCCTGTTTTGAGCTGACAAAATAATGCCTCTGCTAAGCTGATGTCCCTAGCACTGTTATCAGCCGTGCCTAGTTCAACTCTGTGGGCTACAGAACCCTCCTCACCCCATGATACGTAGATCAGGCAAGGGGGTGGTTTCTGTTCCTAACACACTTGCTGTCCTAGCAGACATGTGCACCAGCAAAAAATGTGTTTAGTTTTCATTTTTCGGAATTCGGGTCCGATAGTCAATTCGTTTCGGGATTCGGATGAAATCCGTACGAACTTTCGTTTCCGATTCATTTGCATTTGTTAGATCTGTAATTCGGAAACTTCCAAATCGCCGAAATTTTGTCAGAATTTCAATTCGGAAGGAAACGAATCGCTCATGTCTATGTCCTAGAGTGACAACGATGTTTCTTCATAAGGTGAGTGAGCGTTGTCGCCCTAGGACAGGGAGTGTGGTACTGGCAGGATTACAAAAAAACAAAAAAAAGGGGTGGGAAAAATAAACCATATAATATGGTTTATTTTTCCATGTTTGTTCATGGATTTAGATGTACTTTCTGCCTGCAGTGTCATACTGTTTAAGATTTTAATTAAGTTTCCCTTGTTTGAAGCCAAGAAAAATCTCCTGCATCTTTTTGCCCTTCCTACACATGATGCAAGGCTAAGGTCCAAATAGTTACCATTAACTTGCATGGAAATGTGTGTTTTGCATGACTAGATGCACGTGGAAAAATACTCGAGTGTGAACCGGGCCTAAATGTGGCAGCTGCATTCAATTTTTTTTTCCCCCTTTTTATTTTCATCTGGTGACCTGGGCAGTAAAGCTGGCCATACACCTATAGATTTTCTATGGTCAGATGGAAAAAGTGCAACAGATGCCTCCATCTATGCTAAACTGTGTGGATGGAGGCATCTCCCACTGGGCCAAGCTTTAGTATGCTGCTAGTCGGCACCACAAAATACCTGAACAAGGCCTGCATCCAATCAGATTGTTCATGTATTTTGAGAGCCAGCGGGGCCGGCTAGCAAGATACGGAAGCTTGGCCCAGGTGGAGATTACTCCATCCACAAAGTTTAGCATAGATTGAGGAATCTGTTGCACTTTCTCCATCTGACCATAGAAAATCTGCAGATAATCTATAGGTGTATGGCCAGCTTTAGTGTTATCTTTCAACTTCTTTTAACAGACCGAGCTGTCCCTCGAAAGTGGTGGTTAGAAGGCTGAGACAAAGCATTGAACACTGACAGGTGTGCTTGCAATGGTAATTTTTATTTATGTAAATCCTTTATCCCAAAGGGCAAAAAAAAGAACTGTTGCTGTAACTGTTTAAAAAGTGTGAGCTGGAGTTCAGATGACATTTTTGTCAAGTCCATCTAAACTTGGTAGTGCATCTAACACGCTCTCCACTGGAGGAAATTGCTACTGTGGCTCCAAGGGTGACTCCATTGCTTCTCTAAAATGTGGAGCCACCTTAGACATAGTGTGTTTACTGTCTGGATTACCAGGTAAAAACTAAGGAGAAAGAAGGGATGGGGAAAAGCATTAAAATAAACAAATGCAGCCACTTTATTTAAATATTTCTAAGCGGCAAAAAATGTAAATTTGTTTTGGGGTTTGTTTTGTGTTTACCATAGACTTCTATGGGGAGAGAAGCAGTTCTGACACCCACAATGTAGGCCCACCGGCACTGTACCAATTCGTTTTAGCCTGGGCCTGTCCGACATCAAACCTAAAACCAGTGAGAGAAGGAACCCATTGGAACAACCTCACAGTACTAGATTTTTAATATTCTAGAAAAAAACACCCAATGATTTTAATTCTGCAACCCTAAACAGTCTTAGTCTTTAAATAGTATGCTCAATCAATGATGCTCTTTTCCATTCTAGGTTTATCTACGCATTTTACGATTCAACTCCGAGTTTAGTGTTTCGGTCTGATTGGTCACCACCAATTTACACAAAGCAAGGTAAGAAGGTATTACAAAGCCAGTCTGCACTTTCCCTTCAACCACCCTAAACTGATCTATTTCAATTTTATTTGGTTCCTGCCCTGAAGCACATATTTCTTACTCAGACTGTGAGTGGTACCCAATGGGGAACCCACATTTCTTGACTGGTCAACGATAGCTGAGATACATTTTTATGAGGCGTCCCGTTTTTCTATTTCCATCCTTAATTATGGCTGTTGGTTCACATCACTGCATGTCTTTATCTGTAGGTAAAGATTCTGGAAGCATTGACACATGGCCTGGAAGAAGGAGCGGTGGTATGATCGTCATCACCTCCATCCTCAGTGTGCTGACTTTCTTTGTCCTAGCAGGTCTTGTGGCAGCTATTATCACCAACCTTATGTAAGTAGTTTTTGCCCTGGACAATGATCTGGCAGAATGTTGTTTTCAGAATTGATAAGTTTGTAGTACAGTTATGTCAATACATATTAACGCATTGTTCTGTGTTTTACCAGTTATGTAATGGTGTGGTGAAAGAGATATTGTAGGTCATTTTAGTGACTATGTGAAAGGAGGAAAAGGCCAGAAAAGCCCACTCCATTTTCCTAGTTCTTGCCCTGCATCAACAGAAAGCATCTGCCCTCTTGTAGGTTCCTCCAGAATTTCTAGGTTAGAGTGTTGTATCAAGAGATGTTTGGAGTGGGAGTAAGGTTGGGTAAGTGTAATGCTGGAGGGGGAAATGGGGCCAAAATGCAAGCAAACTATGCAGGTGGATGACATCATTGAGAGTATCTGACTGCATTTTATATTTGTTCAAATATCATTTTTAATATCAGTGGAACACCATGTTACTGATAACATTGTGTACAGATGGTTTTGTGCACTATATCATTGCTTATCAGGGGAAACAGACATCTTAAGCAGGTAGGCTGCTTTAATCCAATATTGCACCATTGTTTTGCCTATGCCCAGGTAATGGGTTTAAAGTTGTGCCCTACAGAAGCTTATACTCTTTACTTCACTTTAGGTATTTTCCCTTCAGGGGTTTACCAATCAGTAGTTTCAGGTATGAGCAAAAAAAATGTGACTCATCTTTTCCTCTAATGAGACAATCGATAATTGGCTGCTCAGCTACCTGGTGCTGTTACTGGGGAGAGTCATGAGTCAATGAGGCACACTGTCACCCAGAGAAACCTCGACCTTTCTCTTCTCCACTCTGCTACTGACTCCCTCTTTGACAAAATCTCATCCCTGTCCTGCCCTGACCTGGCTACTTCTGTTTTTAACAACTCACTCTCATCCTCCCTAGACACCATTCTCGCTCTATCCTAGCCTCTCTTACCCACATTTTCAATTTTTTCCTCTCTACTGGAATCTTTCCTACCCCACTCAAACATGCACTAGTCACCCCAATACCCCAAAAACCTTCACTGGACCCTACCAACCTCAATAATTTCAGACCTATCTCCTTACTCCCATTCACCTCTAAACTTCTAGAACGCCTCATCTACAACCGCCTGAGTTGCCACCTCGCTAATAACAACCTTTTGGACCCCTTTCAGTCATGGAGCTCATAACAGGGTTTTTCTTTCCCTTGTTCCTCCAATGAACTGAACAATGGGAAGGGTAAGAGTCACAGGTTCAATTCAAACAAACATATTCGTGGCTGGTTCATTGGACTAAATCTGCAGCAAAGCCCAAAGTAGATGGTGGCTGCATATCTTATTGGGTCGCCTGCTAATACAGACCACACAACCGCTGATTTCCACAAGTTTATTTTACTGAGGCTGAAAGTAAATTACTAGTTTATTCAAATTTTAATCTTCTCGTACCTTAAGCCTTTGCCAAAGTTTACTGGATTTCTTTTTACTGAGTGTTTTACTTATTTGTACAGGACTCCATCAGTCAATATGGAGCCCAGCCAACATGAAAGTCGGACCTCTCACACTGTGCCTCACAAAACGGGAGATGTCGAGTATGCCACAGCCCTCGACCCCTCGGAACGTTACGTCAACCCACAAGCCTGAGTATTCCTTTTATTGCCTCTTGCTGAATTCTCCGTGCCCATTTGCACCAAGTGACATGGTTAAGAGCTAATAAATGAATCTTTAAAGGGATCACCTTCGTACAGCAGCCGAGGTTGCCAATTTGTGAGTTGAGCCAACATTCAAGCGAAGACATTTGGGAAATAGTGACTTACTATTCTGATTCTGTTTTGTCACAAGTTCCTTGTCAATTCACAGTTTTTACTTTGGCTTAGTTAAAAAAATGGTGCTAACCGTTTTTAAGGTGGACTGTGTGACCAATCATGGAAAAAAGGGCTATGTCTGCTATGTTATAAATCCTGCAAATGTGACAGAACTTAGATATTTATATTGCCATGTAAATGGAAGTGTCTTACAAGATATCTATGTTGGCAATGTAAAGATTCTCTTCAGCATTCTAAACATAACTTCAGTAAGCCATTTTCTACTGTAACTTCACTTGATTCATTGATGGTAATAAACATTGGATCTCAATTTTTCCCCTTTCACACATTGTATAAAGAAAATGTAGGCTTTATTTTATATGCTGCTGTGACATTCCATTTTGTTAAACCTTTTTGTATATTTGTTGTTTAATCAATGTGCTGTGTAGATGGTAAGAAGTTGGTTTCCCTTTTTCTTTTGTCAATACTCAGAGAAAGAAGTCCAATTCATATTTCTAATAGAGCTAGTTCTTTAAAAGCTATTGTAAATCTAAACTGAATGTATTGGCCCTATTTAATAAAAGCAGTATGTGCAACTAAGAAGAATGCATCGTTCACTTGTCTGCCCAATCTAAGCAGTTTCAATCTCATTTGATTGTTTGCCAAGGGTTACTGCAAAAGCGTTCACTTTGAGCCAGATGTATGTTACAATTTCCGTAATTCAATCCTATTTTTAAGAAATGGTTGAGTTTTTTTTTTTTTTTTGTATGTTGTGATTCTTCTAAATAAAATCTGTGTAAGTAACTTGGTTCTCCCCCTGTGTCTCTGGTCATTGATAGGTTTTACATCCAATGTTATGCGGTGCAGTTGGCAGAGTTGCGAATGTCTAGTCTGCACATTCGATAGGCTCAGAAAGTGCTTTTTGCAAAATAACCGGTTACCAGCAACAAATAGAATACAATGGGCTGTCCTGGAACATTACATTTTTGGCTGGAAAAAAAAATAAAAACCAATCAAAGGACACCTGTCATGAGTTGTCGTAAACACAAAGATCTGTTGGGTGAAGTAAAATGTTGCCATTTAGGAATGCCTTGTACCTTATGTTACAGACAACTCAAGTACCTGCACTGGAAATAACTTCTGCAGCTGGAGCTCTGGCCTAACCCCAGTACCATTTAAAGCAGTTGGGACAAAGTTTGATTAAGTGAGCCCCAAATCCTCAAACACTCATTATGCAACTCTTAAAAGTGTATGTAAATCCTTAATCTGATTTTCAGTATGTTTTGGCATCATGTCTCCCGGTATACAATTTTCTTTAATTTCTTTTTTTTTGTGTGTGTGTGTGAATCTTTTGCAAAGTTTACTTGGAGATTCTGGAAGTAACCATAACATTACTTCCTGTTGCAGTCTGACAACACTAACCACTGCCTCGCAATTAGTAGCAGTGTTGTCAGCCTGTGCTTGTGCTCTACTTCAGTTGGCCATATGGCAGCCTATCAGACAGACAGGTAATCCAATGGCCAGCTGAAAAGTGCACACGGCAAACTAACAAAACTGCTAATTACAAGGCAACAGATTAGTGTTGTGTTGGACTGACATAGGAAGTGCTGCTCGAAGGATCTCCTCATAAGAAAAAGAATTACAAAAAAAGGTATTTGCATAAGAAAACTGGTATACAGTGTGTGAGGATGCAAAACCTACTGAAAAATAGATTTTGGGTTTACATACACTTTTCAGATCTGCATAATGTGCGAGGATTTGCCTTTTTCTCAGTGTGTGCACACAGATCTGCTGTCCATTGATAAACTTTGTTTAATAATAAATACATGTGCATTGATGTTTTCTGAGTAATTCCATCTATACATTTACAGGGTATTGGCATTTAAATTACAATTTTAGGATCAAAATGATGTAAAAGCGGTCTAATTAAACAACTCCCCAAGAGATGATATAATCTGGGAGCCTTGCGGAGCTACACATTATGGCCCTTGGTTGTCCTTCCATTATATTCTTTATTCTTTGGGTGAAGAGACCATTCTCTGGAGTCCAGACAATTATGACAGAGAGTCCACCTGACAATTTTCCATGCCTGGAATGTGGATAGAAGGCAAGGCTGGAACCGAAAAAATTTGCTCATGCCAAAATTTGATTGGGCTCTCTGAGCTGTGAGACTCCTGGTTCCTCAATGATGGTTTAACATACATCACTGCCATAGCATTGTCCAACTGATTGACCTGCAGCCAAAAGATCCAGCAAAGAAGGGATAACTGAATTGCTCTGCAGTAGTTCCAGCATGTTGATAGGGAAACAAGCTTCCTCCGGTGACCCAAGTACCATGCACCGAAAGGATGTCTAGAACTCCTCCCCAACCTACGAGGCTGGCGACAGTCGTGAGGATCTGTTTGATCAAAAAAAGGAAGAGCTTCACTGACTCCAGCTAGATTTGTGAACCATAAGGGCAAGGATAGCCGGGTCCTGAGCGACAGGAACATGTGATTGTATAGAGTGGAATTGAGCACATAGGACTGTCTCGAAGTGGCATCTATCAAACGCGGAACCCAATGAACTGGTAGTTTTGCAAGCTCACAGGAGCATTGATGTGATGGAAAGATGGGGGTGTGCACATATGCATCCTTGATTTTCACAGAGGCCTGAAGGTCCCCTGGACATAGGGTAGCGATGACTGACCTGATAAATTCCATGTGGAATTTTTGCACTCAATTGTGGGTCTTCCGATCCAGGTTGGTGTTAATGACACCTTTTGATTTAGGGACAACGAACAGACTGGAGTGAAACCTTTCTTGTCCAACAGCAATGGCTATAATTTCCTAAAAGAGGAGTTGTGCCAGAACAGCGTGAAGGTCTGCTAGCCTCTACGGGAATGTTGACCGGTTGAACAACATGAAACGGGGAGAGGTATAGCTAGAAATTTGAGCTTGTGACCCCTGGACATTATGTCCATTAACCAAGCCTACAAGATGCTTTTGGACCACCACTCTGAGAAGTGGGGGTGTCCGCATGTTGTAAGAAGGATTTGGTTTCAGTGCTTCTTGAAGTGGAACGAAGTCCAAGGTTTGGCCTTGGGTCTAACGGACTGGGAAGAATTAGTGGAATGTTTTTCCATCTGAGGTTCAGCCTCTTTTGCTGAGGCGAAAGGGTGCTTTTTTTTTTGTCTTCCCTCACATCCTTTATAAAGTTTTCTAGAGAGGTGCCAAAAAGGTGCTCACCATCAAAAGGCATGCGCAGCAGGCGTTTCTTCTACTGGTGCTCCACAGACCAGTACTTCAATCAAAGGGTCCATCACATATGCACAGGAGACCCACCATTAAAGGTACTAGGTGTAGGTGTACTAGGAAGGTTTTGACAAGTTGGAGACTTTTTAGCAAGCCCATTCTGGTAACCTTTAGAAAATTCAGACACCGTTTGCACTAGCTCTGGACAGGTGTGCACTGCACCTATAGGGACCACAATGGTATCTTAGGTAAGCCCAAGACCATCCATCATTGGTCACTGAAGTTTCTTAGGCTTAAACACATCTGAGGATGACCTAGCATGTGGTGCATTGTGTGATAGCTACCGTGCCTTCAACGCAACACAGTAGGTTGAATGAACCCTAAAAAGAACAGGTTACAGTCCTCATCTTCCTCAGCTAAGTGCACAGAAGCAGCTGCAGGCAAATCAGAGACAGACTCTAAAGGAGAGTGTGAAGAAACACTTGTGTCTAGACGTGTGCCCGCAAAAAATGTGTTTAGTTTCGTTTAGGATTTTTCATTTAGTTTTTCGTGATTCGGGTCTGAAAGTCCATTCATTTCGGGATTCGCCGGAAATCCAAAGTTTCCATAGTGGTAGTATGTACTAACAGATTTTGGTTGCAGCAAAGTGACAGTGCGCAGAAGAGAAAGAAAAGCGTGAAGTTCTCCCCCAATTGATACCAAATCCTTTAGGTCTGGTAGGAATGTTAGGGGGGGACCTCCTCTGCAGCTAACCTACACAGTATACTAGGTGACCTGGAAAGCACCCCAAGCAGAGTCCAGTTCTCGAAGGGTCACATTACAGGCAAGCCTCGCATACCACCAAGATGCTGGAGTGAGAGGCAAGCTGTCCCAGACGGGGACCCTCAGGGATAACAAAGAGGGAGTCGGTCTGTCTTAGGAAAACATAGCTGCGACATAGACTCTTAACAGCTCTAACCACATGAAGGCAATGGAGAGATGAACTGGAGAAGGACAGAGCAATGGAAGAAAAATGCCCTGGGTAAGGTGGAAGGCAGAGATTACTTTAGGAAATAGGAGGTTCTAGGTCTTAGGATAACCTTGTCCAGACCTAGAAAAGGCTATTTACAAGACAAGGCTGCTCTAACTTTGCCTTCTTTCCATCACATCAGAGTCCTCATTGTTCTTACACATACAGCAACTATTCAGGTATGGCCACATCGAATGCACAAAAGGTATATTTACTTTTTGAAAGTTGATATTTGCATAGACAGGGCCAGTTAATAGATTTAAAGGTATTTTCTAGCACTTAATGAAGCCTGCTCCTCAATAGACGTGTCAAATTATATCCTGTATTGATGGTACATGTGCAATTACTGTACATTCTAGTGGGTTTTACCGAAAATCACAGTTATGTGTACCAGACCAGAGGATGAATACTTGGGGCTCTAGCACAAAAGATAGACCTTTGGCCCATTGCATTCTTTAACCCCAACATAACACTACAGGACATACTTGTTTTGTTATTACTGGTTTGTGTTGAACTTTGTTGATTTTGAGATAAGACGCGTCCCACAAACTACTAACCCTCTTTTCACTTCATTAAATCTGGTCAAACATGGCTATGTTGTATACAGGCAGA